AAATTTAGCCATGTTAAAGAAAAACTAATTTAAAATAAATGATAGTATCTCATTGTATCCTAATGTTCTACAAGTAATGGAAATAACTAAGATTATCACCGGATGGCTAATAAATGAAACTGAAATTACCTCTAATAGTTTTATATCCGCTGTTCTTCTTTCATTAGTCTCTTCATAGTTTCTAAACAATTAAAATAACAAAGTTATATTAATCAATATGAAAACTAAGAAATTTAGTGATTACCTAATAATTTAAACGTACCGTAATTTTTGTAAGTCGTCTTCATAACCTGCCAGTAATTTGTCTTTATTTTCTATCTTCTTTTGTAAAACACGAATTTGACTCGATAGCATTTCTGCAGCCTATAAAGTATAACAGGATCATTGTCATCTTGCCATATTTCAAACAGGAATTCCGTGATTTATTTTAAAATCATCTACGAATTACAGATGCTATACTACATATTGTAGACTTTGATACTAATTCATAAGCTGGAACAAAAAGCTAATGTACAGATGCCAATTATGTGAATTTATCTAAAGTTTAATTAAATTTTATATTTTACCTCATGGCGCTCATTCAATAACTGTGACTTTTCATCCAGTGTTACAGAAGTAAAAGAAGCTGTGCCTGGAACATCATTTACTCGCAAGACCATTTGTATTGCCCTCAATAGTGAGAAGTACTATAAAATTAAAACGTTAAACGTGAATCATTAGTGTATAAAATTCTCAAAATGGGCATTAGTTTTAATAAGTTTTCGCGAAGGCTATTCAATAATTTCTTACAGTTATTTAAAAGTTGCATTTTGTTAATAAAAAATAACTTTCTTATAATATTGAGTCGATAGTAAACTAACCGATTTCTCGCTTAATTCCAACGACTCTATAGTACTGGCTGCCAACGGATCTCCTTTATTAGAACCGCCTCGACCACGCATGTTGGAATTATTCTGCTTCTTCTTGCCTTTATCAGTTCCTGATGCATTTGCTTTTGAAACTAACTTATTCATCGTCGATGTTGATTTTTGGAATGCCTTAATATTACTAAGTTCTTTCTTCATTTGTGATAATTGAAACATTGCTTCTTCCCTATCTGACCCTTGAATAAGAACGAAGATAAAATTAGTGCTATTAAGACGATACTTACTACTCAGTAGTAAAAATAAGATGTATCAAGAAATGATGAATGATATGAAACCACAATATAGGGTAATAAAATTAGGCTATAAAAATCAAATACTACGTCCAAGACTTGGCAATTATTAGAAATACGAATATTTAGAGCAAAATTCAATCAGTAAAACTATCTACTGAAATAATTTTAACTCCGTGTTTCACTTACTATAGCAAAATATCGGATCGAAGATTTCAAATATTGTTAAGTAGTAACAAAATGACATTAAAACTTACGATAAGGCAAATCCTCCTCTACCAAATTTAATTTTTGTCGCATATAACTTAGCGATTCTGTCTGCTTAGCAATGACATCCTTGTGGCCTTCTTCTTGACATTTCATTCCAAGTTTAACAAATTCATCAGAATCTGATAGCTGACAATATTTTCCAGCATAATAAATAAAGTTTAGATAAGGCAGAATGAACTTATCGACGATAATTAATGGTAATGATGCAAAACTAAGATATTAAGTAAAACACTACTAATCAAGTTAGTCCTCGCCTTCTTCATATACTCTTGAAGCTGCTTCTCTAAGTGCTCCTTTTCTGATGAATGTTGGTCATTATTCGCTATTGTTTCCTCTTTGATGCTACTAGTACGATTCTTGAGTTGATTAATAACCTTATAGCAACGCTTTAAATCAGCCTTGTCCTTTTCCATTTCCTTTTGCTGCCGGTCAACTAATTCCGACATCTTTGTATCGTTGACATCAAGAAAAGTACATTTTTAAGGCTTAGAATTAAATTTAGCAATTCTAATATCAAAATGCTACCACCCAATATTTCTAGATATACAGTGTTTGCAATTGCAATCCGGAAATCCTTTTAATTATTCAAGCTGTCATTACCTTCAGTATTTGATCCTTTTGTTGTTGTAACTCATTATTAACCTCAGTAAGACGTTGCCTATGATGTTGTAGTTCTAGCTTCTGTTGCTCATTCAATTCGCCGGTCATATCGGTTAATTTAGCAGATGCTCCGGCTAAATCTTTATTTAATGTCGATATCATGTCATCACGAACTTGAATTTCTTTCTTCGCCTCTAATAATTCTCGTCTGATTATATAAAGCAACAAAATTAAATACTTAAAGCTTGCGAATTTCTTTAAAAATAATCATCGGATGTCATTTATTATTTGATTCCTATCGAATACCTCAGGTGACATTCTATTTAGTCTATCTGTACCTCAAAATAGTGACTAGTTCTTCCAATTTATCAATATCCGACTGTATTTGAGGTATCGTTGGGCTAGGAGAGCGAGGAATAACCGGTACTTCTCTCTGAGTAATTACTAATATAGAAATAAAAAAAGAAACGAATATTAGGCTTAAATCATCTGATGATGACTCGCAAACGTATACAGTTTTGCCGTAAAGTATCT